GAACAAGTAAACTTAATAAATATTTATAGAGCTCTCCACTTTAAATACATAACATATACATTCTTGTCAATACCACATCACACCTACTCATAGGTTTAAATGAAATATTGATTGGCCATTATTAATACCCATTTTTTTAGAATAAAGCAATATTTCTGTTCTCTCTCCCATTTTTTCTTCCTCTTTCTTACTCTCCTTCACTCCTTATTTTTCTTTCCTTCTCTCAAAAAATGAAAAAAAGAAATCAACTTGTAGACCTCTAGATCCAGGTCAGCAATGTCTCTCTCATTGCCTGATTTCCTTCCTTCCCTTCCCTCCCTCCCTCCCTCCCTCCTTTTCTCCTTTCCTCCCTCCCTCCCTTCCTCCTTTCCTTCCTTCCTGCCTTCCTCCCTTCCTCCCTTCCAAAAAAAAAATCAGAGCAGAACTGAAGGAGACGGAGATATAAAAATTTCTTCAAAAAACCAATGAATCAGGAGCTGGTTTTTTGAAAAGATTAACAAAATAGATAGACTGCTAGACAGACTAATAAAGAAGAAAAGAGAGAAGAATTAAATAGACAGTAAAAAATGATAAAGGTGATATCACCACTAATCCCACAGAAATACAAACTACAATCAGAGAATACTATAAACATTTATATACAAATAAATGAGAAAATCTAGAAAAAATGGAAAAATTCCTGGATGCATACACCCACCCAAGAGTAAACCAGGAAGAGGTTTAATTCCTGAAGAGACCAATAACAAGGTCTGAAATTGAAGCAGCAATAAACAGTCTACCAACCAAAAAAGCTCAGGACCAGACGGATTCACATCTGAATTCTACCAGAGGTACAAAGAGGAGCTGCTACCATTTTTTCTGAAACTATTCCAAAATATAGAAAAAGAGGGACTCCTCCCTAACTCATTTTATAAGGCCAGCATCATCCTGATACCAAAACCTGGCAGAGACCCACAAAAAAATAAAATTTCAGGCCAATATCCCTGATGAACATTGATGTGAAAATCCTTAATAAAATACTGGCAAAGTAAATCCAGCAGCACATTGAAAAGCTTATCCACCATGATCAAGTTGGCTTCATCCCTGGGATGCAAGGCTGGTTCAACATATGCGAATCAATAAACATAATCCACCACATAAACAGAACCAATGACAAAAACCACATGATTATCTGAATACATGCAAAAAAGATCTTTGATAAAGTTTAACACCCCTTCATGCTAAAAACTCTCAATAAAGGAGGTATCAATGGAATGTATTTCAAAATAGTAAGAGCTATTTACGACAAACCCACAGCCATCGTCATACTGAATAGGCAAAAGCTGAAGCATTCCCTTTGAAAACTTGCAGAAGACAAGGATGCCGTCTCTCACCACTCCTATTCAACACAATATTGGAATTTCTAGCCAGGGCAATCAGGCAAGAGAAAGAAATAAAGGGTATTCAAATAGGAAGAGTGGAAGTCAAATTGTCTCTGTTTGCAGAGGACATGACTGTATATTTACAAAACCCCATCATCTCAGCCCAAAAAATCTCCTTAAGGTGATAAGCAACTTCAGCAAAGTCTCAGCATACAAAATCAATGTGCAAAAATCACAAAAAAGCATTTCTAGACACCAGTAATAGAAAGAGATCCAAATCATGAGTGAACTCCCATTTGTAATTGCTACAAAGAGAATAAAAGACCTGGGAATACAACTTACAAGGGTTGTGAAGGACCTTTTCAAGGAGAACTACAAACCACTGCTCAAGGAAATAAGAGAGGACACAAACAAACAGAAGAACATTCCATGATCATGGATAGGAAGAATCAATATCATGAAAATGGCCATACTGCCCAAAGTGATTTATAGATTCAATGCTATCCTCATCAAGCTACTAATGACTTTCTTCACAGAATTAGAAAAAACTACTTTGACTTTCACATGGAACCAAAAAAAGAGCTCATACAGCCAAGACAATTCTAAGCAAAAAGAACAAAGCTGGAGGTGTAATGCATCTGACTTCAAAGTATACTACAAGGCTACAGTAACCAAAACAGCATGGTACTGATACCAAAGCAGATAAATAAACCAATGGAGTAGAACAGAGGCCTCAGCAATAATGCCACACATCTGCAACAATCTGATCTTTGACAAACCTGACAATAACAAGCAATAGGGAAAGGATTCCCTATTTAATAAATGGTGTTGGGAAAACTGGCTAGCCATATGCAGAAAACTGAAACTGGACCCCTTCCTTACACCTATTACAAAAATTAACTCAAAATAGATTAAAGATTTAAACATAAAACCTAAAACCATAAAAAACCTAGAAGAAAACCTAGTCAATGCCATTCAGGACATAGGCCTGGGCAAAGACTTCATGACTAAAATATCAAGAGCAATGGCAACAAAAGCCAAAATTGACAAATGGGATCTAATTAAACTAAAGAGCTTCTGCACAGCAAAAGAAACTATCATCAAAGTGAACAGGCCACCTACAGAATGGGAGAAACATTTTGCAATCTATTTATGTGACAAAGGGCTACTATCCAGAATCTACAAGGAACTTAAACAAATTTACGAGAAAAAAACAAGCAACGCTATCAAAAAGTGGGTGAAGGATATGAACAGACAATTCTCAAAAGAAGACATGCAGTCAACAAACATGAAAAAAAGCTCATCATCCCTGGTCATTAGAGAAATGCAAATCAAAACCACAATGAGATACCATCTCACACCAGTTATAAGGGTGATCATAAAAAAATCAGGAAACAACAGATGCTGGAGAGGATGTGGGGAAATAGGAGTGCTTTTACACTGCTGGTGGGAGTGTAAATTAGTTAAACCATTGTGGAAGACAGTGTGGCGATTCCTCAAGGATCTAGAACCAGAAATACCATTTGACCCAGCAATCCCATTACTGGGTATATACCCAAAGGATTATAAATCATTCTATTATAAAACACATGCATATGTATGTTTATTGCAGCATGCTTCACATAGCAAAGACTTGGAACCAACCCAAATTCCCATCAATGACAGACTGAATAAAAAATGTGGCATATACACACCATGGAATACTATGCAGCCATAAAAAAGATGAGTTCATGTATTTTCCAGGGAAATGGATGAAGCTGGAAACCATCATTCTCAGCAAACTAACACAGGAACAGAAAACCAAACACCTCATGTTCTCACTCATAAGTGGAACATGGACACAGGAAGGGGAACATCACACACTGGGGTCTGTTGGCGGGTGAGGGACAGGGGAAGGACAGCATTAGGAGAAATAACTAATGTAGATGATGGGTTGATGACTGCAGCAAACCACCATGGCACGTGTATAGCTATGCAACAGCACTGTACATTCTGCACACGTATCCCAGAACTTAAAGTATAATAAACTAAAAAAAAAGCATAACACCCAATAGGTAGTTTTTCATTCCTTGATTTGAGTGTTTTTAATATTTGAATCAAACACGCATGCCAAAACTGCACCTAACAAAATCATGATTATATTCTTAATATCATTAAATATCCAAGCCATGTTGAAATTATCCCAATTGTCTCAATGACATATTTTTCTTGCTAGTTTGGATCAAGAGTCAAACAGATGTGGTTGTAATAACCAGTTTACTTTGTTATGTAACCATTCTTTGTGTGAGAGCCTGTGTGTGTGTGTGTGTGTGTGTGCATGTGTGTGTGTGCTAGATAATTTTTTTGTGGAGGTAAATTATAAAAATGCAGCACTCTCTGTATTTTGCTTAGTGCTTCATTTTGTGTCATTTTATTTCTGTACCAATTCTTTTAAGCTTATCTTGAGATCAAGAATATTTATTGGCTTAGGTTCACTCTTTTAGTTTCTTTTAATAAAGCAAAAATTCTTCAAAAAAATCCCCTATAAATTGTCAAAAAACAAAGTTAAAAGTTTGTAGTGATTATGGTGACAAAGATGTATAACATATTAATTTTCCCGATCTTATAAAAAACAAAACAATTATAAATAAGAAACAATTCCAAATGCTATGACTTTCAAAATTGCTTCAGGCTGTGTGTACAGAATTCATTGGCCATTATCAGAAAAATTACAGATTAGTTCTGCCTTCCTCAGACCTAAGTTATTAAAGTTTAAAATCTATTTGGGAACTTTCTGAAGGGTCAATGTGAATAAGCCATCCTCTCTGTTCAGTCTCCATGGTTCTTCCAGATAAGGGAACAATAGCATTTGGAACACACAAGCCTAGAAAGTGCCTGGGGAAAGAGCAGCAAGGCTATTTCAGAGTCTGGCCAACCCACACACAGCCTTCACTGTCAGTGCCAGTGTCAGTGTCAGTCTTCTTTCAGGTCATTGAGGTGTATATGGTTTTGAGATCTGAATCGAAGGTGAAAAAAGGCAAAACAAAACAAAGGCAGACCTGGAGATCATTTTCAAACTCTTCCTCCTCACATAAGTGCTGCTCCTTTTTTCTTGTTTGTTTTTATACATTATTGTTTGCCCCACAGGCATCAAGCTGTTAGTGTGTACAGGAGGGATTAAAGTGAGGCTGCATGTTGGCTGAAATATAAATTTAAATTATACTTCTGTCAGTTTGGAATCAGGGATTGTTTCTCAAGGTCTCCCCAAACACTTAATTTCAAATGAGTCTTCATTTATTACTTCAAGAAAGGCCAAATGCATAATTTATCAGCAGCTTTCAGTCAATATACCCTTATAAGCATGTTTCCCATGAGCCTTAGAGTAAAAATATGTTATGCTAATTCTATTAGTTGGGTACACAAGAGCTATCTAAGAAAGTAAACAAACTTTAAAAGGAGACACATGTGAACAAAGAAATACCTGTCAACCTACTGTCCAGGGTCAAATTACCAAGGGAACAAGGAGGTGGTAAACTTGTCTCATTATTCATGCCCAGAGTGTCTCTCCGACTGGAACTGAGAGACACCCAGTGGCTCTGTGTGGTGGCTCAGGGGTAAGGCGACACTGAGTGTGACTGTGAGCTGGCAATGGGGACTTACCGGGTCTCCAGTGGCACGTTGCTGTTTAGCACCCAGCTGTCCTGAAGCTGAACGGACTCTGGTGTGGTGGCCAGGTCATTGGGCGCAGGGGCCGGGGCGTGGATCTGACTCCGCCGATTGGTCAGTGAGTTCCGGTTGAGGGAGTTGGCGGACGAGTGGTGATGAGACAGCGTGTGGTTGTGAGGGGGTGGGAGAGGGGGCCTCAGAGTCGACTGGCTGTGGTGGTTTGGAGGACCTGAAAAAAAAAAAAAAAAAATGGAGAAACGACTGTCAGCGTCTGCGTCCAGGCTCAGGCACTCTGCAAACCTCTGGAGGAGAGTTTGAAACCAGTCTCCAAGCTGACAATTGCTGAAAGCCGCAAGCTAGAGAGACAGATAAGACGGCGGCAGGCCTCCCAGAGTTAGTTACAAATAAATAATGGGCTTTGCTTTGCATTTGTGCACACGCATCAAATGAAGAATAAGGAGAAACTAGCTTAGCCAAAGCAGGTGGATAAGGGCTGACCAGAGACTTATTTGAAACATATTAATACTTCAGTTAAAGTAACATGACATTCAAGGCGGATGACTGTCCTAACGAGTCCCTATTGCCTCTCTGGGTAAACTAGTATACTGCACACATTCTTTTCAGAAATTTCGTCTTTTGAAGATATTAAGAATATGTACACTCTAAGTCAGGGGATAGAACCTTTAAATACCTGTAGGGGCCAGGCAGGAGGGTGGAGTGGGCCAGCTGTGGATGGAGTTGAGGTGGAGAGACTAGGGAGCAGCCCTCACTCAGCACCAGGTCATTTGGGCCACGTGGGACTGAGGGAGGGCTCAAAGCAGCTGTGTCTTCTAGTTTCTCTAGAAAAGCTGGAAATCTGGACTTGTAGATAAAATTTTCTGGTTTTTAAAAATGTGGACAACTTAAAATAAAATTTATACATATATGTATGGGTGTATGCACACATATTTGTGTATATATGTGTGTCTATATGTATAATATATACACACATGTGTCTATATGTATATATGTGTAATATATATATATATATACACACACACACACACACACACACACACACACATTTATTTTAAACAGAGAGTCAACAAAACACACCTGTGAGCCCATTCAGCTCAGCAGGTTGCTAACTTCTCTCCTCTGAGAGATGAACCCTGAGGACTCAGTCTCTGGAGCAGGTCATGGCAGATGTTTTCAAGCCACGACCCTGACTCCAAATTGCATCCTGCCTTTTTTTAAATAACAAAATCCTCTATCCTTGCAGGAAAAACAAAAGAGAGCTCCCCCTTGCCAAACATCCCCTTGTAGATATCGCTGTCTCTGAGAACTCCACACAAGGTTTTCCTAGCAACCGATTCTCAATCTACAAAATGAAATATTTTAAGCATAATGAAAATGAAAGTAGTTCGCTATGTGATGAAGCCTATAATTTCGTTTTAATGGATGCTGAAACGTGACTTTTAATTTGTGTCCTTTGAGAAAGTTTATTTTTTGAAGCTTCCAGTCAGGGCTGGCAGCTCACCAGGTGACTGCTGAGCCTTGTCATTTTTGGCCCCTGCCAACTTTAAAAATCCTCAGCCCCTGCTGTCCTGGCTTTAAGAAGTTGGCTCAAGTCATTTAAACAAGCAATTTGACACAAATTTCAACTACTTGTCTCCTTATGTGGTCGGGCTACATCTCCAAAAGGTGTAATCTACATTCTGGGGTTCCTGTGCAGGCTGCAGAAACGTTCTGAGGAAAAGACAACATGTCAAGAAGATACTAGGTTTGGAGAGCACCATGACCAACAAACACAGGACGGAAAAATACAGAGGAAACTGGTTCCTTGAAGTTTGCATCTCTAGGCTGAAATTACTTGGACAATTTCTTTTTTCTTTTTGATGTTTAGGAAAGGACAGTGACAACGAGAACCCAGTGGGAAGTACCACTGTACAGTTGTATAGATTTTAAATCGTGTCCTCCAATGAACCTGTAATTCCTATTTTACATTATACATCAGTGACATTTTAAATATATCTTTGGGGGAGTTTCATAGCTGTAGCAGGCTATTATATTTTCTGGCATTGTTGTCTGTCTAGTAATGTATTATTACATAGTTATTTAGCATCTGTCTGTCTCATATTAGTGGAAAGAGGTGGGAAGGGGGGGTGAAATGATGTCATAATGATCCTTCAGGGATGCTATCCAAGCCCCCCGCACACAGTTAATGAATTTTCTTTCCCCTTCTCTCAACTCCCATCCAAGTAGTGTCATTATTCCACATTAGGTAGGTAATTACGAGACCTGCCTCAGGAAGATGGGGCGGGCCAGTGCACAAGTGAGAACCTGCCCTCCCCAGCCCCAAGTCCTAACTTTTCATCTCTCTCTGTCTTGGCCCCCCACCCTCCGCTCTCCAAACCACACACTCTTCTAAAGTACAAAGAGGCTGTGTGAAGGATTTAATCTCCTAAATGAGATATCAGACCCTCCTGGTTTCTGTCTATTCACTCTGAGCTAAGGTCTTCTTGTCTACTCCAGCTCGTGTGGCCCTTGTGTGGTCCATCTGTGTTATTCGTGGGCAGAATTCCTGCAGGTGTTTGTGTGCTGACAATATCCAGGGGTGGGCCCCAGCAGGAAGAAAAGCACTGACCTGGGTGCTACGTGGTATGTTCCAAATAAAATGAATTGGGAATTTTCCAGTTAACTAGAAGAGAAGTCAAGTTCTCTCTTCCTTTATTCTAAAGAGAAGGCCTAGAGCTTCCTGGGGGAAATGGAGAAGGAAGAGTAAGGGAAGAGGGACAAATACTTAATTCTCCACTCACCCAGCCCTCCTATAAAGCAACATGATATTTCATTGCAAATAAATCAAATTGTTGACAGCAACAAAAACAAAAATGATCCGGCATCCTCAGTACTGGAAGACATTCTCCTCCGAACTGTTGCTCATTTTCACCACAGCATTGATTATATTTGCTCACTTATCTATCTGTGCTACAGACATATTTTCCAGCAAGGTACAGGAGACAGAAGGAAAAGACAATTACAGTGCAGAGTGGTAAATGCTACCACTGCGATATATACAGAGGGATGTGGGGACATCTAGGAGAGGCATTTAGTTAGAGGTTAGGAGATAAAATCTATAGGACTGGGTTCGAGGATTGAGTCTGCCACTTTCTGGCTGTGTGAACCTAGGCGTGCTACCTCATTTCTTTCATTCTCAGCTTACTCATCTGCCAAATGGTGAAAACAGCAGTAACTACCCGCTAAGGTTGCCGTGAAAGTTAGAGAGGAAGGATGAATGTAAAGTGCTAAGAATGCTGCCTGATGGCTGGCAGGTCCCTGAAAACCATGTGCAGAGAACAGCGACGGGGTCTTTCAGGGATGAAAGGATGGATAAGACAGAACCGCAGCTCTCAGGGAGCCCAGATTTGAGTAGGAAAATTAAATCCGAATTTCATCGATCTAGGGCAGACGTCATAGACTGACAACCCTCAAGCTGAGTATTATCAAAAATTCAAAGTTGAGATTTTGCAGAGTGTTTCCAGGTTTCTGACTTCTCTTGAAAACAAAATCAAACCCAAAATACGGAGTCTGTATCCTCTCAAAGCAACTGGATAGAGCTGAATGCTGTGGGGGAGGGGGGTGGTTTATCTGATTTGCCATCAACCCTTGTCATCCCTGTTCTCTTAACCTAGCTGGCTGTATGTATTTATGTTACTGACGCCTAATAGTATGTTTTTGACTCCTAGCTTCACTCGGGTGCCCTGGTATTCAGCGTAAGTAACGTACAACTTGTATGAAGCACCTCTGCTACAACGATTGATCGCAAGCACCTTTTTGCATTGGTCACTTTTCATTACAGTTATCCAACACACTTGCTGGGTGGGAAGGTTTTCTATTTCCAAAATGCAAACAATGGCTGACGACATGCGTTCCTGCTTTCCCAAAGCCAAAATACACGAAAAGCCCTTCTGCAAAGCAACTGATGTCTTCAACCTCCTATGAAACAGAGATGAATCACTCAGCTTGATGAAGGAACCCTAACGTCCACTCTAAGTTCCACACATCTATTGGGTTCAATTAATGTGCATATTATTAAGAGCTCTTCTATTACGTAAATATGCAATTATGTAATAATAATGCAATTTAAACATTAAAAACTATGTAACATGAATCCTTATACAGTATGAACCTACTGAGTAGGCTATTAGTAGGCAAAAGGCAACTGTCATTAAAATATTGGTGCTGACCTGATATTATTGTACCTGATTACTTTCAGTCCAGAACCTGGAATTTATTTTTACGTAGTGTATGGCTTTTAGTCCTAGGAAGAAGAAACAGTTTTATTGGCTCTTTACTAAAAACTAGGGAAGGTATAGGTAAGGCTCTTGAAAAAGATAAGTGAATTTATAGAGAAAGTGTTTCCTGTATATTTAAAAATCAAGGGCTTGAATGAGCGCTACTGTCTGTCCTGCTGAAGAATGGTCTGTGCTTTTGGATTTTCTGTGGGACAATTGTTGCCAGTTGATTTTGAGAGGGATGCCAGTCACAGAGTCTGTCCTTCTTAAATGCCTACTGGTTGGCAGCACAACTTGAGAAAAATGAGACAGTGTTTCTTTCTTGAGCAACAATACCAATTCCAATAAAGTCAGACGTGGGAAGTGGAAAACCTTGGCATATCAGCTTTTGTGTGGACTCCTTTAGAGCTGCTCATACAGCATGGGGAAACAATCAATGCCCACGTTTTAAACAGCATATAAAGGAAGAAGTTCAGGGGCTTAAAGGAAGAAATTGCTAATGATTGACTATTGTTGTTGCACTCTGCCTAAATAAATAGCTGGAGGACATGTTTAGGTTGGGTCTACTCTTGCCAAGGGTTGACAAATAGATGGGGTGGGTAAGCAGAGACAAATTAAACTGCCTTGTCTTTCACCATAGTCTTCATCAGTTTGTCCTGGTGATTAGAAATGATGATAAAATATGTGAAAGAAAAAAATAAAAGTAGGGGCCTGCCTAGCTGCTAATAAATCACTCATTCCTGGGAATGGCATGCCAATGCTTGGTCTTTAACATTTTCAACTCCCTCAGACCCTGAGATGACAAATTAACCACAAACTCTTTGCCTTCTCCTGAACTACCTCTTAGGGGGCAAGTTTCATCTTGATAGCAATTTAAAGATTCTAAAAGAGGGGATGGTGTTGGCAGAGACTTGGGAATCTCTGGTTGATGATAACTAGCACCAGGACACCCTGT